GCTCTACTGTAATTTGCAGGTTCCATTCGGATTTACAGTCCTACCCGCGCCACGCTCGCTGCTTGGTACACTATTGCCAATCCTGTAGACCCCGTGACAGAAAGCCACGATCCTCGCCCAAGTCGAGTTATTGACTGGTGCCCGGTACCTTCCGGGTCCATGGATTCCCAGCCCCAAAAAAGAATGGCGTTTGGGTAATTGGCGTGTAATTGGGAGGAAGCCACCAGCCATCCTATGCCTGACAAGGTGACAACATAGAAAGCCCCATTCTCCATCATGGCCTCGAGAAAACACAGTGCTCTAGTTTCTTTTCCTTGTTTTGTCCTAGATGGCAGGAGAGAAGAATTCCCGGTACTTTCATAACCTCGATTCATTAATCCTCAACCGTAGCATCCTCGCCGCAGTCAAGACGTTCCTTCCTCAAAGCTACGATGCCTCGACGACTGCGCTCATGGTTCCAGACGCATGTTAAGCGATACAGAAATGCGGAGGATAGGAAAGGTTCTAAGGATCAAGAACAGTCTCGCCCTGCACCTCTGCTCAAGTTGCCGACGTCTACACAGCACATCCCCGCCACTCCCTCTACGTCCACCTCCCGACTCCCAGTCACTCCGGCTACCGGCTCCATCGATATAGAGACGTCCACCCCACAGCCCCCAGCCGCTCCAGCTACTGGTTCTGCCAACATAGAGACGTCCGCCGGCGCGGATGACACCACTGTTCACCCCCACGCCGCTTCGGCTACCAATCCCACCAACACAGAGACGCCCGCCAGCGCAGATGACACTACTACCAGCTTACCTGTACGACTCTGGGACCGTGCCTATAATGAGCTTAAACAAGAAGAGGTCAAATTGGTGGACTCATATGAGAAGATACTGTCCCGACAGCTACAGGATGGCCCCGGCTCAACGGTGCCCGAGTCCCAGTCGAACACCATCGCCCACAACACCTTGGACAGGCGCTGCCAAATGACCCAGCTTATCAATGCTGGCCTAGCCAAGACTGAGAGGGAGGTCAAGGCGAAAGAGAGCCTTGGCGTGGCCGT